TTTAACCCCAACTCGCTCATTTGCCTACCTGTATCACTGTTGTCATTCTTAATATAAGATATAGTTTATAATTTAAATTAAAATACAAAGCATACCTTATGTTAAGGACTAGTGGTATATCACAAGTTGCAAATAAGCAATTTCATTTTGTTGGGAAAAAAATCAGCAATTTCATTTTATTCAAGTTGTTCTTATTGTCTTCTCACTCGCCAACAAGGCATTTCATCTGTCTCTTCAGCTGTTGATGGAGTTGGCTTCACCATGGTCAAGTGAAAAATAATTATATCCTCTATACTTCTAAATATATATTACAGTTTAGATAACTAATTTGCTCATTTTAACTTGCATTAAAGGACTTTCCTGCAGTAATGATTAGTTACGGTAAAAAGTGTGTTAATTTTCTAAAATACCATTTTTAATAATATGCACTGAAAATTATTTTATTGATGAAAAATCCCCATAATATGCTTAACCAATAGGGAATGTTTAGAAGAACAATTATGAATCTAGGAAATAAAGTTGATTGGTGTCTTGTGTTTAGAATTAAGACAAATCCCTCTAATAACTCTTACATTTAGAATCAGAAAGCACATTTTTAAAAGTGTGGTTGAATGCGTGGAAGAAAACCAGACTGGATACAAGATAAATAAAATTAAAAGATTCATATTTTTGTAGATGGAAAAAAAAATCAGATTTGTATCACTTCTCTTATTTGAATCTGATAATCTTTGAATTTTGGCGATGATGACAAAGCCTTATCGTATTAAGTAGAGTCGGTTCCATGAATTTGGACTAAGATAATTCCAAATTAAAACTAATCAACGTACATCTCCCAAACTGGGTATTGGGTTCAACAATGGCACTACATGCACCACAAGATAACAATGCCTCCAGCTAGCTGCACCATAAATAAACTGAGGATGAAGAACTACAAGATGATGAATGCAGTAACAATCCTCTACATCTCTACGTTGGTGCAAATGATGGAGGCTCACCGGATGGCCATTGTTGATGACTTCATTGTGAACTCCACACAGATCATGATATGTTCTTAATGTTTAGAATGTGAGTAAAAAATAATTCATGATGAGCTGATATTCATAAGTAGGTGATGATGATCATGCATGTCCAATTCCAATCTCTGAAACTTCTGTACAAAATAATGATGATGATGATGATGAAAATCACTCTTTGATCCATCCTGCGTCACAAGGGAAAGCTTTAATTGGTTTAATGTTAATTTCATTAAACATAAATCAGATAGAGCACGAACGAGGCCTTACCACGATAAAATGGCATATGATGAACCAATAACGGAGCAGCATCTGTACAAGTGATTGACAATGGAAAGTATTATTTATTTTCTTAGAGCCTACAACTAAATAAGAAAAAGCTTTAATATTATTATTTGGGAAAAAAAGAGAACTTGAAGGTGAAACTTTGAGATGGATGGAGAGTTATGTATAGATGAGCGTCTATATATAATGTAAAATCTATAGAAAAAAAAAATCATAAGTTGCAACTCATTTTAAGATTTTGGAAAGCATAGCCCCACAATCTCAATCATATCACACAAAGTAAATCTGAGTTAATCAGATATGGAAGGTGGAGAAGATTCTTGTGTAATCCAAAGTATTTAATTATGTGCTTCATGACAAGCCAACAGCTAAAGTTATAGCTGGTTTTGATCTTGGTGTCTCTGCTTTAAACAAGAATTTTAAATGAGTGGTTGTTAAATAAAAAAATGTTTACAATATTTCCCATCAAAGACAATATATATACATATGTAAAATAAATCTTCAAGTCCTTATAAGTTATCTTAATTTTAAATTAAGTCTCTGTAATTTAATTTTTTTAAAATTGGATCCTTATTATTTGATTTCTTAATTTTAATAATTTATAAAACTTATGGAATTTCATTTAAAGAAATACACCGACCTTAAAACGGTGTGAAATGAAAAAAAAAAAAAAATTCATAAAGCCCATGAAGTTTTGTAAATTAAAATTAATGATTTTTATACTGAGGATTGATGTCTACAACGGATTAAACTATAAAAACCCAATTTAAATAAGATAAACGATAAGAACTTAATTCAAAATTGAGGTAAAGCATAAGGATTTCTAAATTAATTTTTCTTATATGATATAATAAAATATCTAAAAATATTCTATTTATAAATTATGAATATTATGACTATTTTAAACTTTATACAAAGCACATAATAAAGCAGATCTCAATTAGATATGGAAGGTTGAGGTTAAAAAATTAGAGATGGAAGGTGAATATGTTAATTTGTGTAATCCAAAGTACTCATGAGCTCCATCCACCGCTGTTTGACAGCTAATGTTCTATCTGTATTTCCGGATTTGATTTATGCTTTTTAAAAGTGTATATATTAAAAGAATATTTTTCTTCTGATTATTAAATATAAGACCTAATTAATTAATTTAATTTAATTAAAAATATTAGTTAAATTAGTTAATATGACATGATTTTTTTTTATCCTATAGGCATTTTTCTCAATTCCCTAATTCCTTCTTCTACTTGATCATTGTTAAGAGAATATCAATAGGGTTAATTTGAAAAAAAAAGTTAATAAACATATAAAATAATTCTTACATAGAGAACCAATATCAACTTTCAATTAGGTCTTATAAGAAAAATAGGAGTATTAAAAGAATGGTTTATGGATATAAAAAAAATGTTCTTAATATTCCTCCATATGAGATACGCTATATCAGTGATTTGTTGGTGGTCACTCCGACTCGCGAACTGGTCGGTTTTGAATTCAATTTTGAGAGTTTTTTTTTTTTGTCATGATTTAGCAGCCGTTGCATGGACTTTGACCTCAGAGGATTTTTTCTCATAGGTGCGTGAAATTTGAGTTCCCTTATTTCGCTTTATAAGATTCTCTTTTTTTTATATCGTTTTATAAGATTTTAATGGGAGTTGTTTGAACATTTAACACTACAAAAAAACATTGAATCACCGACGGAATTACCGACGGAATCAATTCCATTACAAAACTGTGAGAAATTCCGTCGGAAATATTACCGATGGAATTTGCCACGAAATTCCGTCAGAAATTACCGACGGAATTTTCCGTCCATAATTCCGCCGGTAAAATAATTTTCTGACGGAATTTACCATGGAAAAATTCCGTCGGTAATTTCCGTTGCAATTCCGTGGCAAATTCCGTCAGAAAATCTGTCACTAAATTTGCCCACAGAAGTTTGGACGGATTTTTTTACAGAAATTACTGACTGAATGTTGTCCGTGGCTAATTCCATTGGAAAAGTGAATTTCTTTTCTCCAAAATTTCATATCTTTATTCTTATAATAAAATGCAGCGATTCTATTTTTTGTGAGGTGAAAGACTACATTATGTAAAAAAAAACAAATAAAAATTTTGTAAAGGAACATAGTGAAATCCTAGACGTGTGGGTGAATTATAATAATTCAATCTATGCATTTGATTGCCTTAAGTATGAAAAAGTAAAAATTACTTTTGAGTTATTTGTTGATTATGACTATTTCAAATTAACTGAATATTATTGATCATAATATAGAAGAATAAATTTTAGAGACAAAATTGAATTTTAATTTACTAATCTTGAAATAATATCATACTCCTCCGGTCCTAATTATAAGACCCAATTGACTTATTTGAGGAGATTAAGGAAGTAAGTTAAGTTGATTATTTATAATAAATAAGTGTTGTCATTCCTAAAATATCCTTGCTAATTAAGTATATTGGCTAAAACTATCATTATTAGAAGGATTATCTTGGAAAAAAATGCATAAATATAAGAGATAAAATGGATTGGGGTCTTATAATTAGGACCAAATAAAAAGTCAAATGGGGTCTTATAATAAGGACTGGAGGAGTATGAAGAATATAATAGGTGCAAAGCAAATATTTACATGGAATCATGTATAACAATAATGCTAACTTATTAGTATTTAGTTTCATAAAACTGTCAAGAAAAACAAAATTCTCCTACCAAATATTTAACATATATTTTGAGAATTTAGACTCAACAATTTTGATTAAAAAATTATAAGTCTTGTTAATCAAACAAAATGCTTGATGATTTGATGGTACATGATAGTGATTTATAGCAATCCTTGTTAAAATGTGAGAGATGTATGAATCCTAAGCATCATCTTTTGTAGTTTATTCATGACAACATTATTCTTCTTTTTTACTCCACAACTTCATGTAATTAGATATTGTCAATATTATATTATATATAAATATATTATCTATTTTTAAAAATAGATGGACATTTTTAAACTAAAAAATATCAAATCATTTCAAAGGATACCAAAAAATAATAAAACTGGAATTTGATAGATCATAATTTAGAAAATTAATATTAACAACTGTTTACAAATAATACAATTAGAAGGTTCTACTATAACATAAAAAACATATATTTAACGAATTAGTAATAAATAAAAATTAGAATGTTATGTAAATAAAAATAGTGTATATGAAAATAGCTTATTCTTTTTTTCTTGCTTTTTTTTTTTTAAAGTTAGTCCACCATATCTGATAGCCAAAGCACATTTTTAATACAAAATAATATTAATAAAATTATACCAAAAAAATATATCAACATTAATATCAAGTTGGCTAGATATAGATTGAGAAAAGGTTAGCGAAATATTATAATATTATCCTAAATATAATATTATTGTTCTTGTATGAGAAAAATAGTAAGACTTAAATTTAAACTTAGAATTTATAAAATGTAATTTTGTCCATTTTTTGTTTGAAGAAACCATAATTCATTTATTAGAAGGCTAAATTTATTCTCCCTCAAGATTTTCACCTTCCCTCCATTAACCCATTTAATTTGAGACTTAATTTTTGCAAAAAATGTTAATGATTTTCTTCTCTTTCTTCCAACGATTAACCCTTCTTTTGTAACACTGATAAAATCATATTTTACCTTGTAATTTTATAAGAAAAAAATTAGAAAGTAGGTGTACTGCACGCCTTATCCTTGTTGTGATAAAAAAGCCAATTGGTTAGCTGTCATTCACACTAAGGCACGTAGTATAATTGAGACTCCAACTTCTGAAACTTATACAAGAGCATTTCAAGTAGATAGACTAGAAGTCATACTACCAATAATTGTTGTTGATGATGATGAATGGAATAACCAAGGAGTCTCTAAGATTCGTTATGAAGAAGTAGATGTGTCAACTGACAATATGGTTTATGATGATGATGATGATGGTGATGTTGATGACGACGAAGACACCGAAAATAGTAAGGAAGATTCTTATGTGGATGAAGATGAAGAAGAAGAAGATGATGATGATGATACATAAAATAATGTGATTTTTCATTCTTCTTTAGTTGAGTTTAAGTTTGATTGCATTGACTTCTAATTGATTTACTTTTTATTAAGATTTATCTTGTGATGATTATTTACTATTAACTCAAAGTGCTTGAATATGTAGATGGCAGGTCGTGGTTCAAAGTGTGATAGAACACACTTGAGCTCTTCATCTTCTCCACAATTATCTGACCAACTCAACAAATTCTCTGTTCAAACATCTTCTCTACCTATGGGTGAAGCATCTACTAGATCTCCAGCTATAAATGAAGAATGTAGCAAACCCTTGTCATCCCACGGATTATCTCCAGTTATGACTCAATCATATAATAGACCTTCATTATCACCTCGAGCATTATCTCCTCAGATCCCATCTCCTGGAACTAAAAATTCGTATCCCCCTACTCCTCTGGCCCCTCCTACCTTTTCACCATCAGGTTATGATTCTTCAGATGGTCAAACATGGATATATCCTGAGAAGAAAACGTAAGTCACCATTAAGTTTATATTATTTCACATCTTCATTTATTATATTAATGCCATTCTAACAACATTTATAATGATATTTTGTATAAAATTGTTATTAGGTTTAATCCTGCTGTTGCTACTATACGAAATATTCTTCTTGTTATTCAAGAGAAATTTGACCATCTATGTTCCAGCTGGAAAGCGACACCACCTAAATATAAGAAAATGTGATTTGATGAATGGGCAGTAAATTTTACCTGTACTTGTATTTGTTTTATGTCTTCAAATTTTTCCTCTCAACATGTTTAATTTATATTTTTCTTTGGTTCTCATTTATGCCGCGAAAATATAAATGGTTGCCATAATATGATCATGCTATTAAGAAAATTTGGAAAGCAAAGTGTGCAAAAATTTTAAGAAATACAATGCACACTGTTAGGCAAGACTTGTATCAAAAACAAGTTAGGGCTAAGTGGATTCCACATCAAGTGATGACCGAGCTAGAGAGAATATGGGCATCAGAAGATTACAAGGCTAAGTGTGAGATTGCCAAGGCTAATGGAGCCTCAACTACAGGAGGCACTCAACACGAAGGTGGTCTTCCTAATACTGAGCATAAGAGGAGACTGGTAAGAATTTATCTTCAAATTAAATTGCTATTTTTTTAATGCATATATAATACATCTTGGTAAATAATTGCAGGCTTTAGAGTCAGGAAGAGACCCTTCTATGTTTGAATTGTTCAAGAGGACACATTTAAATGACAAAACTGGAAAATTTGCAGACCAGTGAGTGGAATTAGCTCATGTGAGCATATGTTTCTAATATTTGACATATTATTGCATCATTTTTTCACGTAAAACCAAAAAGTAGTTTCTTTCATATCAGATCCATTTATAAAATCCCTATAGTATTGCTTGCCTTTTAAAAGTCCCCTTGTCAAGACTGTGACACTACAGGCCAATTTTCTATTTATTATGGTACGTATATTAATAAAAGTTGAATATAGGCATATATTTTGCATGGAATGTGAGGTAACTCATTATATATATCCCTGCACCTCTTTGACGAGTTGTTTTTTCTTGAGAAAAGTATTTATGATTCTATGTATAGTCACTGAGTAGGTCATTTCTTAACAAATTTTTTTAAAAAATATTATCAATCTCAGTTGGAATATATATATATATATATTTCCCCAATCCACCACTGATCATTAGGCAATATTCTACCAAGCGAGATAGACCATATAGGTTTATATTTATAGTTCTATACCTAAACCTCTCTAATAAGTATATTGCCAAAACTTGACTTCTTTAACCAGGTAAAAGAAAAAATGAAGTGTTTTACTTTGTGTATTGACTCTTGGATATTGTGTTGCAAAGGCACCGATATTGGGGTAGTGGTTGCATAGAAAAAGAGGAAATGCAAAAGTGGTACCTATATATTAACTATATATTAATGTCCAATAACGTCGGTAGCAGTGTATCAAACTCACACAATGTATTTTTATATATATAAATGCATATTAGTATATCAAATGTTTGGTGGATATAGCCTTAAAGAATAACTTCTAAGCTTGAGAAAACCCAAGCTTTGAGTGAAGAGAGTCTTGAAGTTTGATATGGTGTTCTTTTTCCAATACTATTAAATAGTTCTTCTAGATTTTAAATAGTATTTAGGATTTTTTATTTTCAGTTATCTAAAAAAGCATTTAATGAAGGCACAATATCTTTCCTTTCGTTTCAAAACTTCCATGTTCTCTTCCCACTGTCCATTCATTGGGCCCTCACACCCAATTACTTATAGGAACTTCCTATACCCTGTTTTTTTTTTTTTGGATAGAATTGGTGAATATGTCATCATATGCTGAAAATTAATGAATTATGGTATCTTTTCTTATCCTTAGTACAATTTTATTTTTGGACTTGACTTAATCTGGTTGTTGTTGGGATTAAGTTGAGAAGAATCTTGCCTTCCATAACATGCACTTATCATATGCTCCTGTTGTCTTTTTGTTTTATTGGATGAGTTCATGAGAAGAAAGGCATAACTAAGTTCTGAAAGAGACTCTCCAAGCGTACAATCTAATCAGGAAGAATTTAATATATGGTTAGATGTTATAGGTAGCAAGAACAAGAAGGGCCGCATCTATGGATTTGGGTCTGAGGCTGATGATGATATTTGTATCCAGAGGTCTTCTCCTTCCATTAACAGCACAAGTATGAATGCCAATGTTGAAACTGAATTGCGCATGAGGATAACAGAGTTTACACAGGAGAATCAACAAATTAAGCAGGAGCATCAAGATATGAGAGAAAATTATAACAAAATCATGTCTACATTGGAAGGAATGGGAATTAGACTATTTGAGCCCCCTAGCAACAATATAAATTTAGTAAATGATAGTTGACAGTTGTTGTTATTATTTCTAGCTTTTATTTCACACTTGACACTTGACATTTGAAGCATTTGGATGTGGGAAAGACTATATATCTTTAATAGCATGTTTGATTTTTTGACAAATTCAATTATCTTTCATTCCCTCTTAAAAAAAATAATTGATCAAATTAAAATAGCACAAAATAAGAAAAAATTTGATGGGAAGCAAATTTGCCGCGGAATATTCCGTGGGCAATTCGGTGGCTGATTAGCCACGGAAGTTGTTATGGAATATTCCGTGGCAAATTAGCCACTGAATATTCCGTCCAAAATTCCGTGGCTGATGAGCCACGGAATATTCTGTGGCTAATCAATCACAGAATATTCCGTCGCAAAATTTGGGACGAAAAATTCCGTCGGTATTTTCTGACGGAAATTCCGTGAGAAATTACCTACGGAATTTGCGCTTCCGTCGCAAATTGATTTAGTGACGGAAAAATTTCCAACAAAATGCATTCTGTCAGAAATTTCGTCGGTAATTCATGTCCATCGCAAATCTATCGGTAATTCCGTCAGTAATTTTGGCTTTCGTCGGTAATTCTGTGGGTAATTCCATTGGTAAATTAGTGTTTTTTTTGTAGTGTAATGTGTTTTTATTATTTTTGTTCTTAATTAATTTTATATACTATAGTAATTCAAAGGACAAAGATGCATCTATCACTTTGATATTATTTTTTTGGTTACATCTAACACTTTAATCTTTGGGATACTGGATGCACTAAAAACAAGATTAGAGTGCTAGATACATAAAAAAAATAAAAAAAATAAAATCATGATGTTGGATACACCATAAAAAGTTCAGAGTGATGGATACACTTGAGGAAAAAAAATTGAGTGTTGGGTGCATCTTTACCTCAATTAAAAAGTTGGCATCTTGACATATTACATTCTCTTTTATATTTTCCCTAGTTACTATTTTATTTCTCTCCTTTACTTGCCCCTTATAAATAAGGGCCTGCTTGAAAAAAAAATTTATTTTTTTACATATTTATTACTTTTAACTAATTTTAATTGTTTTTTTAAATTATGTAATTTGATTATCAAACTCTTATAAAAAGAATTAAAGGATACCAAGAAACGGAACAACTTTTTGACCAAAAAAAATGAATAGATTTTGGACTTGACGGGAAAAAAAGCTAATAAAATGTAATAAATACATAAACAAAAGTTGTGATGAGCTGAAAGAGTGGCATTTTAGGATTTATTTCCTATAGGAATTTGTTAAATTCATGTTCCCTTTATGTCATTTAGCAATTTTTAGGTTTTTTTTTCCTTCTTTTTTTCACAAACATTTATAACCGTTCATATGTGGATTTAGAAATGTATGCATGCATTTTAATAGCTAATAATCATAAAATAATAACCGTGATTGGAGAATTTAATATGATAAATGTAAGTATCTTGATCTAAATTTTTTTACTTGACAACTTTACAGCTAATAATAGGAGCAAAGCTACAGCAAAAATATTCAAAGCCAAATCAAATAAGTACCGCAAGTAAATATATAAAAGTACTCGTAAACTTTTATTCAAAATGCGTCTAGCACCGTCAATTAAATATTAATATTTAATTAATATTTTAATATTTAATTGTAGAGTTATCATTTTAATTTGCTAAATCAACATTTCGAGTTAATAAAACTAATAGTGTTAACATTAAGGGACTAAAAATATACTTTATAAACTTAACTGAGTAAATTAGAAGTTAATATAAATTAAGAGGATCTAACACATATATTAACCATAGAGTTATTAGTATTATAATAGTGTCATAAAATTTAATATAATTTTTTAAAACTGAAAGAATGAATTTATTTGTATGGTGACGGGTTACCTGTAAAAAAAAAAAAAAGTTTGTTTGTATTTTGTCACATTTATCAGTTTTTGTTATTATTTTTTTTGAGTTAAGGATATTTTAGTACTTTTATAATATTTGTTTGGGTCTCATCATGAGAGTAACGCGTGTCACGTAAATTTATTTTGCTTTGGTTTTCCAAATTCTCATATGTTTTTGCACCTCCAAAAAAACTTATAGTGTTGGTGACATTTTAAGTAAAAGTTCATAAATATTTTTACACTTTTACCCAAATATTATCATAATATACGTAATTATTTATATGGGGGTTATATGCATAAATATAAGAGTTTAGGGGATCTACTGTAAAGTTTTAAATATTACTCCTTCAGTCCTTAATATAAAACCTATTTAACTAATTTGATTAGATTAAGGAAGTTAGGTAAGTTAATTAATTATAAGAAAAGTGACCCATTTTTCCTAAAACACCATAATCATCTTTCTTAATACTCCATCTCCCTTTTCTGCTTGATTATGGTTGATAGAGTATCCATAGAGGTAATTTAGAGAAAATTGATAAATATGAGAAATAGGTCTTATATTTAGAACCAAAACCAACTCAAAAATTAGGTCCTATATTAAGAACCAGAGGAATATATACATATTCCAAAGTTTAGAAGAGCTATCTACATATCAATCAAAGTTTAAATAGTTATATACACGCAAAAATAGAGTTTTAAGGAGATATATAATTCTTTGCCGGTAAAAAAAGGAGATATATAATTTATTATTAAGTTTTAAATGTTATCGTGGTTTTTACGTAATCGAAAGTTTAGAGAAGTTTTGTGATTAACCACAACACAAAAACTGAATATCCCAAACAGCTACAGGATCATTAGGACCAGCGGATCGAAGGACTGAAATTTGGAGCACATTCCAGAGATATAAATGTTATGGTGTTTAAATATTTTTTGTGTTTTAAATTATTTTTTATTATAATAGATATAAAATTTAAAATAAAGAGAATTTCATAATTAAAACTTATTTTTTAAAAAATAATTTCTGATCGTATAATAAAAATTTAAAATTTGAATGGTACACATCCAAATCAGATTTTAAATGGTTCATATTTTATCAGAATAATAAGCATATGACACACATAGTTGTGATAAGCACCAAATAAAGAAGCCTACGATTTTGACCCATCATCTCTTTTAATTGTTTTTCTTGGGCTTCATGTGCGACTCTCGTTTCTTGCCGTTGGGCATTCATTTCAGAATATTCCTTGCCAACGGTAGCAACAGAAAAAAGCAAGCTCAATGGTCGTACCTGCTTCGAAGAATATACCTACACCAAAAGCAAATGTACAAGCTAAAAGTCTTGTATCTTAGTGACATTGATGCTTATAAGTGAGAGATTACAGGTTTGATTCTGTTTGTAAGTTTGCAATTTCAAACTATTAATACTTGTCTAACTAATTTGTAAATATTAAAAAAAGCAGATAAGTTAGTTATTTGTAATAATTAAATATTTGTTTTTCTAAATTAGGAGACAAGGTAGATTTAAATTTTATATTCATGATCAAAATAAATCCCTTATTTAACTCTTACTCTCCTAATCCTATTTATAAAGCACTTCTAACATATTTCACATAAACTAAGAAAAACCTTAAACTATATTAACTCTTCTTTAAAATATAACAACTTTTTAGTTTTACCCCTATTTAATATATTCACCTTTAAAAAAAATAACTATCTACACTATATTAAATAACGGACAAAATATTACATTCATGCTAAAAATTTAATGAGGTAATTTATTAATAGGATAAAAAAAAGTTTTTTTCCTACTTTACAAATAGAATCAGAGGAGTATATCGGAAACCGGAAGGACTGCAGTTTAAGAGCGAAGCATCCTTCTTTTGACTGAAACATCAAGCTTATGCAGTCACGCTTGCTTGCTGTAATTCAGAAAAAAAAGGAAGAAGGTATCTTAAGTTTGGTTTAGTGCTTTGGATCTTGCATGGCCGCCGCTGTCTGAGATAAAAACTTATACTGGTCCTTAATATGGGAACTATTTAATTAATTTGATTAGATTAAGAAAGTTGGTAAGTTAGTTAATTATAAGAAATATGATATATTTTTTCTAAAATACCGTAATCATCTTTATTAATATCTTCCCTCCGTGTCCTACTTCATTATGGTTGATGGAGTATTAATAGGGGTAATTTAGAAAAAAAATTAATAAATATGATAAATAGGTTTTATATTTAAAATCAAGATTAGCTCAACAATAGGTCATATATTAAGGACCAAAGGAGTATCACTCTGATCCTTGTTATTTGTCATTTATAGTTTCTTACATACCAATGAAAATATTGAATAGATAAAATCTTTCACTTTTGCTCTTATTATAAAGAGCATTAAATACTAGTGTATTTTCTCTCACTCATCCCCTCTCTCTACACCTTTACTATAATTAATAGGGATAGACTTAGAAATGAAGCATTAAAAAAAGTATAAGTGACAAATAAAAAGGACCAAAATCTCTCTCTACAAGTGACAAATAATAAGGACAAGAGTGCATCATCTTACATTCCCCCCCCCCCAACGAGTGTTTAATTGTTTGATTTCTTACTAAAATTTGTCTTTTTAATAGGTTCAGGAAAGTATGAAACCGCCAGCATAAATGGCATCACCCCACCCGTCTCGTTAAGGAGGTTGGGAAATCGATCCCCCTGTAGCTAAAGCGTGCATTGAATGAGGAAGTTATTATACATTTTACAACATCTCTAATGTTTTGGAGACTAATTGAATGTTCACTAATAATCATTTTGGCTTAAAAATGATTATAAGGGATTTTTCTGCCTTAGAAACTTCAGAAAAGCTACTTTCAAAATTTTCCAACAAGCTGTGTCGTCATGACTTTGTAAATTCCCATGTGTTAGAAATAACCCTGTCTTGATCAGAGTTCACAAATCTTAAGCTAAGATCATGAAGACCTCATGCTGCACATGTTGTATTAATTCTTCGTTGAGCAGATGGATGCTTTCATCATAGGATTTCTTTTAATGAGTTCTTGTTTGGAAAACCTCTTTTAATTACTTAAAGGGAAAAAAAAAAACTCTTTTGTATTTTACGAGACAAAATTTCACTCATGTACCTATTTTGTACCGCACAAAATCACTGAACTAAATCCAAATACCCTATGGTTGCGTTTGGTAGGAAGTACTGGAAATGAAGGATTGAGATTGAGATTACAATTGAAAAAATCTATTAGAAGAGTGTTTAGTATAAGAGATTGTTTGATATATGGGATTAATCAAAACCATATATGTGGGATTGGGGAATACCAAAGTGGTATTCCCCAATCCACCTTTATGGGTTTGCTTAACATATAACAAACAATTACTCATACTAAGTACTATTTTAATGATTTTTTCAGTTGCAATTACAATTCCAATCCCTCTACCAAACGGAACCTATGAGTCTATGCCAACACTCCCTTCAATTGTATAGTGATAGAAATCATTGACATGTTCTTTCGGCAGTCTTTCATTTGCACAAGAAAAGAAAAGATTTCAGGAACAGAACAAGAGATACATTCCTCAAGTAACATATGGGATACCAAACCGATACACAGGTTGAGAACATACTAATTAACTGGTCATTTTCGCATAATTTTGCATATTTTTATCATATCTTCATAAATGTGTCCATTTCACTTGTGTCTAGCTACCAATAAATGAGTTTAATAAAATTTCCACAATTTTGGTCAAGATATCACTGGGAAGTAACAGGTTAGTGATTACTACAGTACGCATGTAAGCTTAAGGGACTTGCTTGCATGAAGACAACCGACATAATAACCTGAAAGAACAATGTAACCAGTAAATTTCCTAGTCGTTCCACCTTACTAATGGAATCTGGAAGCTCATAAATTTTAACAAGAGACTGGCGCTAAGACAACCTCCTCTTTTTTTTTTTTTGGAATTAAAAAGGCAGGCGCTAAGGACCTGAGGTTACAAGCAGGATCGAACTCACGACCTTCCACTTACAAGGGAGCGTCAGTACCACTAGGCTACAAAGCCTTTGGCCCCTAGACTATTTTTCTTTTCTTTTTTTTCCGAATACAAACAGGCAAGTTAAGACAACTTGTGGAAATCAGAAAAGGGCTCCCGGAGTGAGTTGTTGGGAAATATCATCTCTCATGAACGAGAGGCATCCTGGCCCTAGACTATTTTTCTGCCAAGTCAAGATTGAACCTATTCTCAAAAAACTGACATGTAGAAAAATTCAGGAATTGGTTCCTTCACATCAGATGTGTTTCCCCTCCAAGTTGCACTTGTTGAAAAGACGATCGGCAATTCAGCATGGTCAAACTGGTCACCGAGAAGCTTTTGATTCTCTGCACTAGAAGAGGGGAGGTGGAGAAGATAGAAGAAGATAATTCCAGCTCTAGAATAATGTGATCCAGAATGAAACTTTGGAATCTCTGAATCATCCCAGCTCTCATACCTAATGAAGAAAACTATAAGATGAAGGGATGCTATGCAGACAATTAATTTCGAAATAAAACAGATAAGTTAGCTTCACAAAGGACCACATTTTTTCTGCGCCAGGGTTAATAAACGCGCTCATATTTGCATGAACATTTTTTTTTTTTGGGGTCAAACCATATTGCATGAATATTAAGTTTCCAAATATTTGAACCAGATCAACACTATCAAGTACAGCAATTACTAGATACATTATAAATCACAAAGAAAATTGACAAGAAAAATGTATAAGCATAAAGTAAAACACAAAAGAGGAGAAAGTCAAACATGCTATTTCAGGGAAGATTCATGGCAACTAGGTTTCTAAAAACCTATTCACTCTCTTTTTTGCGGAAAACTAAGAGATCACCACATCCATTCGTGAATAGCAATAGGACTGACTGGATAATCCTGCTTTGAAATCTAATGAACAATATTGAGTTTCCACATGCGTCAAAGGTGAGGTGAACTCCCACTGCTTTGCACTTTCTCCTTTCCCTATGCACCACCACTATAGGCCCAAGCCTTGTGCCAACATGGTACTTAACTGTTGTACTTCATGATGAATTTGATTTGGGTTGTAAGGCAACACTATAGCTGACATTTTTCTGGACACCCAAAGCCTAAACAATAACTGAAAGTTCAAGTTCGCTCTCCTTCTGACAAAGCACCCAGAGTCATCAATATTCAATGAACAAATTTTCAATCACATACGTATTATCAGGTGAAAAAATGGAAATGATACATTTTGACTTATATGATACACAATGAAAGAGTTGAATTTAAATTTACTTTAAATTTAACAAAAAGTATACAAAGTACCTGATTACAGACGAAGTCCAGGATTTATATACCAACAACATAATTTATCATCCAAGCATGCGAGCGGGAAGACCACAGAACAGCTGATTATCTTTCACATGCATTTATCAGTATCTTATCTTTCATCCCGAAGCTATAATCCTTTAGTGAATAAGAAATATGTTTACAGAGCCCGTGTAGGACTAGGATGTAGCTCCATGGCCAAGTTCATTAACGGTACACAAGCCCTCTTCCTTTCAGTGCCAGCTCTCAATTGCAATGTCATCAAGAGAGTGAGTGAATGTTGAATATTTGGAAAGTGATTTCAATGACCACCAGCAAGTAACCAGTGAAGCCCATGATAGCATGTTTCAACTTTTCATATAATTATCAAAGTGATCACCAAAAATCTCCACATGAACAGGCTCCTTTTTGAAAGTGATGGAACCTGTTTGCATCCCTTACAATAAGAACTCGTTCCAAGACTTTAGATGCTAGCTTAAAGAATGTATGGCAATCATTACATGTTCGAAGATTCTTTGTGATCCGAAGAGAAGTACCCTCCGGGGTAGCAATAAGACCATAACCAAGAGCCAACCTTTCACTATGTCCATATAGCATCTGAATTTTTTCCTCTTCCGCAACATTGTGCAAAACAAACTTTGTTTGAGGCCTGTAGCCTACTTTATCCTCCAATGATTTTGTAAACTGAGCTACTTTTAGATAAATGTCATTAGACTTTGGATGAGTTTTGTCCCTTGCCATGAAGGTGTGAACCTCATTCCCAACCTCAATCCAACTGCATCCAGGTTGTTTCTTCACCCCATTTCTTTTCATTCTTATCCTCACTTCTTCAACGTTGTTCCATCTTGCATCGGCTGCTAGGATATTAGATATTAGAGCATAATTTCCTGAATTCTCAGTATCCAATTTTAAGAGCTGTTCTGCTGCAAGCTCTCCCAATTCTTTATTAGAATGAACCCGACAAGCCCCAAGAAGAGCACACCAGACCTCAGCAGTAGGTTTGATTGGCATATTTTTCACAATATGATATGCCTCTTCCAAGCAATTTGAACGACCAAGGAGATCAACCAAACAAGCATAATGATCTGGCCAGGGCTCCAGCTGATATTCATGTTTCATAATTTCAAAAAACCTCTTACCTTCAGTCATCAATCCTGAATGGCCGCAAGCATGCAGTAGAGCCAGGAAGGTTATATGATCGGGTATAATATTTTCATCTGTCATTTTTTTGAATAAATTAATAGCCACAGTTCCAACGCCGTGCATTCCATATGCATTAATCATGGAAGTCCATAAAATTATATCTCTCTTTTTCACAGAATTAAAAAGCTTTTTGGAATCCCCTAAACTTCCACAAGAAGCATACATATCCAACAATGAGCTAGCAATTGGTCCCTCCAACAGGAAACCCTTCCTAATTATAAATCCATGAATCTCTTTACCTTTTTTAAGTGCAGATAAACTAGCAACAGCAGAGAGTAGGCTGACCAGAGCTACAGAATCAAGCTGTAATTTAGTTTCTTTCAGGGAGCAGAAAAGTTCAAGACCTTCAATTGCAAATCCATTATGAACGTAAGAAGATAACATACTTGTCCAAGACACAATACATTTGGATTCAATTGCGTCAAACACATGCTCCGTATACTCTATGTGCCCAGTCTCACCATATGCATTGACAAGGGCGTTTTGCAATAATGTATCAGCTAAATCTCTTTTTATAATGTAACCATGGATTTCCTTGATTGAGGTTTTGGACTTCAACCCGCTACAAGCTGTCAAAATGCTTCCAATCATCATCACATCAATATTTATCCTTTCTACATGGACCATCCGAAACAAATTTAAAGCATCCAGATGACATCCATTTTGAGAATAGCCAGCAATAATTGTTGTCCAAGAAATTGAGTCTTTTTCATGCATGTTTTCAAAAGCACCACCCATGTATTTCACACAATAACACTTAGCATACAAATCTATCAGGGTGTTTCCAATCTGCACGTCAGAGTCCATTCCATTTCTTATTGCATAGGCGTGAGCTTCCATTCCACTTGATAATTTCCCTAATCGACCTGATGCTGCAATCACATTTAGCAGTGACACCTGGTCAGGCTTTCGACCAGAATGCCACATCTCCCGAAAGTACTTAAAAACATCACTATATAGATCATTTTGAACAAAACCTGAAAGCAGGGTGTTCCATGATATATAATCCTTACTATTCATATTTATAAAAACTCTTTCAGCTTCCTCCATTCTACCACATTTTGCATACATGGCAATCAAAGAGTTGGCAACATATATATCAGCATAATAATCAGATTTCAAGGTAACTGCATGCATCTCCATGCCTAGCTTGATGAATGCTGGATCTTCACAAGCTTGAAGAGTGGCAACCAAAGTATATGTATTACTGGAAAGACCAATAGCCCGCATTCTTCTAAATAATGATAATGCATCTGAGAAATGACCTCCTGTAGCATGTGCTATGATTATAGAATTCCATGAAACAACATCCTCTTTCTCATGCATACTTTCAAATAACAGCTTTGCTCCATTGAGATCATTGCACCTCGCATACATAGAAATAAGTGCATTGGATACGAACACAAATGCACCATATCCACTCTTGATGGCCATACCATGAATCTCAGCACCTAAGCGAGGTTCGCTGAGAGCACCACAAGCTTTAAGAACACAAGGAAAGGTATGCGCATCTAGTGACACACCGAGAACTCGCATTTCCTCATACAATGCAATTGCTTTCATATGTTCCCCGTTTGATACATAGGCACCTAACATGGCGTTCCAAGTGAAAATCGTTCTGTCGCACATTTCATCAAACACCTTCTCCGCGTCAATGAATGAGCCACACTTTCCATACATGTGCACAAGCTTTGTGTTCAGAAAAACAGAATCACACAGGCCATAAGATTTGATCATGCGGCCATGTATCTGCTTTCCTTGTGATAGAGATTTCTGACTCGCGCAGAGGTCAAGAATCAGAGAATAAGGCTCTTCAAGAGAAAAATTATTTGAACTGTGGTTAGCAGCGAACAACTGGGTTAATGACTGAAAAGCATCTTTTAAACTTCCTTGCCTGCAATACTCCTTTAAAGAAGGCATCTTGATGGGTTTATGAGAAAGTTTGGAGCAATGAACTAGCGGGCTCCAACCAAATTTTTGGAGCATGCAATCGTTTGCAGGGCATAAGCAATATTGAGGTGACAATATGGGATTGCAGTGGGCATAGTAAACTACCGGCATGGGAAAAAGGGCAATGGCTTCCGCCTACACAAAGATTTCATGCAAGCAAAAAACGAATAGATTGTTTTGGACAAATCCTGTGTGTTTCCCCCTACCCAGCTTTGCTTCCAGAACCAAACCAAGCATCGAAAATGGTGCTTATTGATATTTTCATTAAGTTTACGCAGAGAATGAAGATACTCCCCTCCTAGCGGCCCCGACCCGCCTCCGGCGATAATGGGCACCGGCGATGACGTTCAGTTTCTCTCCGTTGCGATTTTGTCTGCACCTGCCCCTGCAACCCAACGACGTCGTTTTACCAACCAAAATCACTTTAAGGGTAAACGCCGACAAATTAAAACAAATCATACTCCGAGTCTACAATGCCGCTTTATGTTGGAATATTTTTAAAATACTCCTCTGATCCTTAATGTAAGACTTATTTAACTAATTTGATTAAATTAAGAAAGTTAGATAAGGTAGTTAATTATAAGAAAAGTGACACATTTTTCCTAAAACACCATAATCATCTTTTTTAATATCTTCTCTCCCTCTTATATTTGATTATGGTTGAGGGAGTATCTATAGGGGTAATTTAGAGAAAATTGATAAATATGATAAATGGGTCTTATATTTAGGACCAAAACCAACTCAAGAATTTGGTCCTATATTAAGAACCGGAGGAGTAATATTTAATAAATTTATATAAAGGGTTACATTTTCATATAAATTAATATATTTATATGAAAGGTTATGTAGGAAATTACAATAGTAAGATATCCTATATATTAAATATCTTTTATTTATTTAAATATGTATGGATGTGACTTTTTAGTTAATGAGGTATTATATTAAAAGGCATCTCTTCAAAACATCACTCCATGATCTATATAACACTTCATTTGAACACAACACAAATACGAACACATCAAGATCAAACTCATTGCCTTTCTCTTTGAGTGCATTCAGATCAGAGATAGAGTCAAATTATCATCTTGTAAAGGCCATTATTGTTTTGGCTTGAATCTTGAAAGGGCAATTCATATTCAAAAGTCTTCATTATATCCTAAAGGAAATTTGTCATTCAGCTTAACTTGCACTTTATAAAATAGGAATTGGTGGAGACAAATTAAGCCTAAAAAGAAAGTGATATCCATGCCTTGAAGATATCGTGCACTACTTTCTCCTTCATATCTTCTTCTTATACTCTTTAGAAAACCATTCCCGCCAACAATCTTTAGGCTTAATTTACGCAAGTACAAATAGCTTCTTTGATGAAGTTGACTACAAATTTTGTAAAGTTGGATGATTTGACGGAGGCAACTTTCTGGGATGGAAAACGAAGATGAAATTTCTTCTCACAACTTTGAACGTGGCCTATGTCCTTACCACTCCCAAGCCTCAAGAAAAAGAGGATCAAATTGTTGCTGAAATAAGAGAGAGATAGAAGTGGAAGAATGATGACTATATCTATACTGGACATATCCTCAATAGCTTCTGTGATGCTCTCTTTGATGTTTATCAAGATTTAATCTCTGCAAAGGATCTTTAGGACAAACTTGAGGGAAGGCACATGTAAGAGGATACTATAAGTAAGAAATTTCTCGTACGTCACTTGTTTCAATAGTTATAAAATAGCTGATGAAAAGTTTATCATAGAGCAAATGCATGAATTTTAAATAACATGAATTACATATAGATGAGTCCATTATTGTCTCCCCAATCATAGACAAACTTTCTCCTTCATGAAAAGATTTTAAAAAGAGCCTCAAACATAAAAACAAATTGGAAAATCATCTTTATTTAAAAGAGGAATATAAAAAGCAAGATACTGAAAAGAAAACCAATGCTCAAGAGAAGGTACAAGTGGTAAAGGAAGGACAGTCCAACAATCCCTTAAAAGAAAAAAAAAAAGGGAAGGACAAAGACAAATCCCAGGTAAAGGATGGTTACAAAAATAAGAAGAAGAAAAAGGTAATTGCTTCTTTTATAGAAAGGGTGGTTATTTCAAGAAAAATGGTTGTTTCTTCAAAAAAAAGAAAGAGAAGAAAAACAAGTCATTTGCTAAAGAAGACAATTTTGTGACAGTAATTTCTAAGATCCATCTAATTGATAATGATGAGTCATGGTGGGTGGACTTTGGTGCCACACGCAATGTGTGCAAAGCAAGAACTTCTTCAAAAGGAGGAAATGGGGATGTGCTTTATATGGGAAATGCTTCAACTGTCCAAGTCCAACTGTGAAAATTGAATTTTCTTCTGGGAAAAATCTTGCTTTACGATATGTCTATTATATGCCGGAAGTTAAGAAGAATTTAGTTTCTGTCCCTTTACTTAACAAGTTTGGGTTTAAGTCTGCAATTAAGGGAGACAAGTTTGTTCTCACCAAGGGTGAAACATTTGTGGGTTAGGGTTATTTTTGTGACAACATGTTTAAGTGTAATGTTGCTAAAATTAATAATAGTACTTACGATTCTGTTTATATTAGGGGTGAGCAAATTAGAACCAAAACCGAAAACCGAACCGAACCGAACCTAATTCGGTTTTTCGGTTCGGTTAATTCGGTTTTCGGTTTTTATTCGGTTTCTATTTATATAAATTTCGGTTTTCAGTTTTCGGTGCGGTTAGTATTAAAAAAAATTCGGTTTAACCGAATAACCGAAATTAAGAAAGAAAACATGGGCCCTCTTGTTATATGTTTCCTTGTCTCTCCCAAGTCCAAAGTCCAAGCCCAACATATTAAAATTATTTTAAAAAAATTGCTGCGGTGCTACCCTAACCTAAATCGAAAATAGAAGTTCTTTGCTTCTCAAAATCTCTCTTTGTCGGCACTGAGTAAATCTCCAGCGGCAGCCAACTCTCCACCATCTCCATTCTCGCATGCATTGCAGAATCAATGCATATCGTCTGACACGTGAATGAACACTTTGGGTAGGATGGTGGTAGATCGAAGTGAAGGTAACACAATCGCCGTCGCCGTCGCCGTCCTCACCCTCCTGTGTCCGCTTGACATTGTCGTCGCCTCTGCACTCTATCCTCAGGGGCTTCGAGTAGCCTTCTATTTACTCATCCATCCCTCTTATTCTGCTCAAGTTTTTCTCCATTAAACACACTATATTTGAATTTTGGAACTGAAACCTTTCAATTTTTGATCCCATTGTTGGGTATTTGAAGCTACTTTTGTCATACCATATTCTGAATTATGTGTTGAAATCGTTGGTGCTCAAATTTTCATCTTTGTTATTAGACGAATGATGATGTGCTGTTATTGACTGAAATATGGAATCCAAATTTTGTGCATTTGTTACCTTGAGTATACGATTCCCATTCCCTTCAGTAAAATAGAGCCTTCCTTCTTTATTTTTTGTTTTAATTTTTCTTATTTTCTAGCAAGTTCCAGGAAGTGATGTAAACTTTTTATATTTATACTCTTTTAAGCTGTTTAGACAATGTATTATGCTTCTTTGAGTTCTTTCGATCTTGTTGAGATTATTTGGTTTGTATTTTGCATTTAGCTTTGCTTGTTGAGAATTTAGAAATTCTAATCAGATTGAAAGGTTAAAAAAAAAACCTAAAACCGATTAAAAAACCGAAAACCGAACTAAAATATTTCGGTTAATTCGGTTCGGTTAATTTCCATTGATCGGTTCGGTTCGGTTACAAAAATTAATGCAATTCGGTTTTTTCGGTTTTTACCAAAAACCGAAACCGAACACCGGATACTCACCCCTAGTTTATATTGTTGACTCTTGTGATTTATGACATTATCATTTGGGTCATGTTAATTTTGACAAAATAAATGATATGATGAAACTTGAATTGATTCCAAAGGCTACTATTAATCATGATTTTTGTACTACTTGCATGTTAACTAAAATAACAAGGAAACATTTTCTTAGAGTAGGAAGAAGTTCTAAAATATTAGAATTGATTTATTATGATATTTGTGATTTGTCTTGTTGGCCTACTTTAGGTGGTAAAAAGTATTTTGTGACTTTTATTGATGATTGCACTAGATGCTGTTATGTCTATTTAATGCACTCAAATGATAAAGTTTTGGACAAATTTAGGATCTTTAAAACTAAAGTAGAACTCTAATGTGAAATCTTTATTAAATGTTTACGGACTGATAAAGGAGGATAATATTTTGATTCGAAATATTTTGAGTTTGTTGGTATAATACATCAAGTAACTGTCCCTTATTTCACACAACAAAATGATATAGCTGAAAAAATAGGGTTTTAGTTGAAATGATAAATGCTATGTTATCTTACTCCAGTTTGTCTAATGGATATTGGGGTGAAGCTTTGTTAACTGCATGTTATATATTAAATAGAGTTCTTAATAAAAGGAATAAGATAACCCCATATGAATTATGGAAGAAAAGAAAGCTCATTCTCAATTATTTTAGAATTTGGAGAGGCAAGGTAATAGTTAAAGTTCCAGGACCTAAAAAGAAGAAATTGGGTGAAAGAGGAGTTGAATGCATCTTTTTGGGATATGCTGAAAATAGTAAGGCATATTGGTTCTTGGTTATTGAATCAAATGATTCATACCTTATCAATAAAGTCGTTGAATCTAAGGAAATTTTTCAAGAAAAAGGTTCAACTCAATCCTTAAATGTAATGGCATTTCTCATTCCAATAAAAAGACAAATCAAGAGAAGAAATAGAGGACAAGGGAAGAAATTAAAAATTGTTCATCTGTTTGTTTTAATTTAGAAAATGATCCTGAAATATTTAAGGAGGCTATGAAGTCTCAAGATGTAACTTTTTAGAAAGAGACTATGCAAGATAAAATAGATTCAATAATAGAAAATAAAACTTGAAAATTAGTAGACCTCCTAGTTCTAAACCCATTGTTTGTAAATGATTTTTCAAAAATAAATTAAAAATAGATAAATTTATAGATAAATTTAAAGATAATTAATTATTTATTATTAATAGATTCTTTTTTTTTTAAGTTTAAGATAGTGAATGGAGTTTTTCCATTCTATCCTAACCGATTACTGATATTGGAATAATTTGTTTCCTCTGTTTTGTCTTAGTCCATGATCGGAACGAGTCGCACGCACACCCTAGTACATATTCCTTGGCACTGAGGGCATCCTCGAAGGGCGAGGGATTTAGTGAAATTTCATATTGGCTGTCTTGTGTTTCTAATAAGTTGTT